TTCTACTGCGGTTGAAGCTGTGTTGGCATATTGCACTGCTCGCTCAGCCATTTTGGTAGCCTGATGGATCATTCAAGAAATGCAGATTAGATTATTATTATTGAAGAACCGCATGTAACAAAACCCCTCATATCTAGACTCACCGTTGTCCAATTGTTAGCTGTCAAGAGGTGACTGGCTAGGACGGCAGCAGCTGCAGCATTGTTTCGATCCATCTTAAACACTGCCTGCACGTCGGAAATAGCTTTCTGGTAGGCAGCAAATTGGGCTTCATCGGGGAGATGGATATCTTTGGATGCTTGGAAATGAGATAGACCGAGGAGTAGCCGGGCGCCTTGGGATGCTTTTCCAGGATTCTATAGCCATGCAAATCGATAGATTGATCAAACAAACAAACAAACAAAAACAGTGGTACTTGTCAAAACAGACATCATTTTTTTAAGTTTAAGATTAAGTTGTTGAAGAGGCTCCCACCACTACAAGACTTCTCTCCCAAGCTTGTCTAGCAAGTTTCTGATCACCCAGAAACCAGAAACAAGATCCGATGCCAATTCGTGGGTCAGGTAGGACATGGGGGGCTAGTTTTAAAACTTGCTGGTATAATTTTAACGCGGGCCGGAAGAACTTGCGATGAAATAAAACCCTGGCTTTCCCCAGTAATGCGGGTAGATGGGTTGGACGCTCCTTGAGGATTTCTTCACACGCTGTCAAGGCCTGATCATAATGTTTTTGTGCCAAGTACAAGGTAGCTGCGCAATAATTGATTCGGTATTATGATTAGAATGGAAAATTTCATGGACACAGTCAGATAAGAGATGGGAATTGATATCAAACCTCGGGCATCCAAAACGAGAGGGTTCCTGGAGTCAATCCTAGAAGCTTCATTGATATAGTGGGCAGCCTTTTCCAGCGTCTCGTCAGCAGTCGGTTGAGCCGGTGGGATGGTATCATATTCGGGCGTTTCTAGTTTCAAGGTGGGAAGGCCTCGAGAGAGATTGATGGCATAGGTCGCAAGTTGGCAGAGTAGCGGTAGACACTCGGATGGCCTGTCCTGATCCCGTAGGGCTGTTAGGATAGATCGAGATCGGATGGATGGATGCGATTAGATGGATAGATAGAATACGGGAGATGTTAGCCTGAGTCAGACAATCGATAGATCAGTTGGATTGAAGAAGGGAAGGACTCTTTGACGGAGGAATCCCATACCTTGAAGTCCTTGATTTGCTAATGAGATCGCATCTTGCTTCAAATCACGTTTCCAGTATTCCATCGCAGCCCTTGTCCAGAACTTGGCAGGTAGTTTCTCCTGTAAAAAGATCCCGACGATCTCCTCTACTGAGCCTTCTCCACCGCAGAATTCAGCCAGATCTAGCTCGAGGGATTCAGTGTTGTTGTTGAGAGGTACTTCGAGGATACTGGAGGATGCCATCGCCATCGCACTGGCCATGGTGGTTTCAAATTGAATTGTTGGGTTATTATAACTTGGGTTGGATAGTGATCGAAGGTTGGAATTCCGAGCGTTGACTTCCGATTGCGACTTCGATACTGGATGGAATGCCAAGCTGGGTCGATCGCGGCTTGATTGAGGTTGATATGTATTGTGTTTTGAACAAAGCTTGGACAAACCGAAGTTTTCCAAGAACTAAAGTTATGTTGTTATGCTGCTGTGCAGCAGTTTCAGCTGCTGGTTTTTGCCACACAGCTCTGGTTTGATTCACCTCGCTGTGATCAAGCAGATACCAACTTCGCCGACCCCCCAATACCGACCCCCCCCCCCCCCATCATCCTGGCATCTATCCCAACCAAAACATCACTAGACAATTTTTGAATTGTACGATGCATCCACCAAGGCTCGCGCAATCCAAATGGCGATTGAAGGACTCCGTGGTTTTCCGACATCCAAAAGTTGATCTCTTTATTTCTCTGTAGTCATTTTGTCATACGAAGAGAGCTGATATCTTCTCATGGAACAATCAAACTCAGCTTTGTAGCATCTCAACAACACGTGCAGGCCTTGCAAGTATTACATCAGACCGGCAGCCCAGAATTGGCAATTGGACAAACGATCACTCATGTTATGATGGTTGATCTTTGCTAAAAGGCTTACAGGCACTGTGAGTCCTGTTCCCCATCAAACTAAAAAATTTTCATGACTTTTTCATCTTTGTTTTTGTACCACCGGTGTCTTCTTATTGACATCCAAATCACATCTTGTTTTTTCAGCACTTGGTCATTTCTCTGGATTGTTATGTGTTATCTCCTCATCGATCTTTTACAAACACATCAAATAACCATGGGTCAACTGATTGGTGTTGGTTTTGTACCCAAATTTGTCGTTTATCTGCAGCTCCTTCATGATTTGAATGTTATTACTTCTCTTATCCTTGAATGAACAAACAATCATAATGAGAAATTAGTCCATAAATTATTCTCTAAACAATCTTGTGATGAACAAGAATTTGAATCGGATCCAAATTGACCACCGGATTGACTTTTTGTCACTCTTTGGAGTGAGGCTCTAGTTCAATATTTTAACGATCTGGATGAGATTGACACCAATTTGATGAACTTACATGGACCTTTAATCCAAGAGCTTACTGACCAGTCTCCAACTTGGAGCTGCAGATATGTATCAATTCTGGATTGAGGGTTCCTCTACCGACTGATTCTGACTTGAGATCAGTCTCTCTTGACCTGGGTTGCATCTCACTGATGAAAAATCCAAGGTTTCTGCACACTAAACATAAGAACAATCTCCTCAACTTCTCAAGTTCCCCCACCAATCACCACCCTGATCAATACAAAAAAGGGAGGAAAATCACAATGTTCTTTTGATCTAGTTAACCTGAGCTATTTTTAGGTTAGTAGTCATATTTCTTTTGCTATGATTGACTATTCAACTGTGACAGTCTTGGCCAAGATTTGGGCCGATAACATATCAAGTGTATAGGGGGGGGGGAGTTCAAAGGAGATAAAAGCCAATTCAAGTTAGACGATGCCAAAGACTTAGTTTTCTATAGAACATGAAGAAAAAAGAAGCTTACGGAAGTCGATGTCAACACCTCTCAAGCTAGAAAGCAATGATAGAAAGGGATAGAGACGAAGACCTAAGGTCCAAGACAATGGGCTGATGAGAGAGAGAGAGAGAGCATACATAGTGATGTGGTAGCTAAGCAACTGCATAGGAATGATAGTCAAGAGACCTTGCAAGCAATCGACCGTTTGAGGGACCCTCAAGATCCGAGTGGAGTCGGCGGCGGTCAAGACTCAAGCCGGTATCACCTTCGTTAGCGATCACAATCAGCGAACCTTTAGGGGCAGTGACTTGTTGGAGGGCCAATTGGACCTTAGGATATAGAGAATCCTGGCATGATTTCTTTTTGCAAACAGGGGGGAAAAATCAGTATCTAGCAATCTTCCCGCCTACATGTTGAGAGGACCAGGCAAAATCATCAGAAACCCCATCGGCCCCAAGCAGTTTGAGGGCCAAATTTACTAATACTGACTGAGATTTTTTATCCAAACCAATCGTTGAGCCGCCAATGCGATTGGTTGATCGTTTTTGGTGGTTTGGGGGAATGGTTTGAACGCAGCTGGCCACCTGGATTGGGAATCAAGAGCGATGGAGGCTGGCCGCCGCTGTGGCAGTCCATGACGAGATCATGGGTTTTAGAGAGAAAAAATAAAATAAAAATCCAAACTTAAACGGTGAAAATCCAGGATTTTCGAGTGCAGATCCTGCAAATCCGTCCAAGCATTCTTCAAAACACAATATGTAGTTGACGATGTGGCTGGTGATGGATGAAGATGGATGGACATTGGGCTGGGCCGGCACTAGTACCACTGGAGTGGAATCGGTCGAGACACGTGACATCTGGCACCCCGAGTGTCACGCGTCCCCTCCAAGACTCAGCCAGCCAAGACTTATTTGTGAAAGTATATTGACACCATCGGACATCATCCAGTGAAAGGCCTGTGTCTGATGATGAACTGCAACCTGGGCTAGGCATGCTCTGGACGCGTACATCTTTCGAACTTTTTTTATTTTTCTATGAAGAAGAAACCAAGCATTCAAGAAATTGTGTATCGGATAGTACTCCAGGCAAAGGAAACTGGATGAAATTAACATTTCAATAACTCTTCGGACCGAAAGGATAAAAGAGGGATGTGATTACGCATGTCAACAACCACCGCACTCGTTAATCTTTACCGACAATTTGCCACGAATTGATGGAGATGTCGCAATGTGTAGTAGACTAACGACCCACCCTTTCCTCGGTCAATGGCAAATGGTGTCCAAGCAGCTATGGTCACTATCGTCTAGAGCGACGCCCCTCTCTCCCTCCTCGGAGAAAGATTGCCTGTGTTGCAAACATCCGTGCTCAAGAGCAGCGCTTCGCTGGGATGATTGATTGGTTGATACTATGCGACCTCCCAGTTGTTGCAGCTTCAAGCAAAATCCGCACTATGGCAATCGTTTTTAGTACAAAGCTGCAAATCTGATCAACTTGAAGTGTGTGTTTTTTTATCAAGTCTTCATTTCCCATTGGAGTAGGTCGAAGCCTAGTTACCATGTCCTCACTGACATCGTCGATGATCGTAACATGCAACATCATATAAGCAGATCGGAAACGCGTTCTGCGGGGAATTACATCAGTTTGTGAGGATGTCCTTGTTCAACATCCGGGCTGCTTTAAATATTTATACCCAACAAAGTGGCAGTGTCTTCTCCAACCGTCGCTTGAATGGAGGCCCAACACTTTTGTCTTGGTGAGAGCTGTCTTCGGTCTCGGTTGAGCAAGCGACCAAGGGGGTTTCGCTCGTCGCCCATGAGGATGTATTGCGTTCCTAAAGTAACACTGGTTGGTAAAGGAACCTGGGGGAACTAGAAAACCTGATGGGCTGATCCCCGATCTCATAGGCCGCCAACACCCAACCTCTCGACCAATCAATCCTCCTTGTGCAACAAGTTTTTCACATTTAAGACAAAGCCAATTGAAGTCCAGTACCCTGAGCGATTTTACAAGCATAACCCCCCTCCAGTCAATCAAAACAAGCTCGCTGGCTATTCTGAAACCCCATATCCGCATTTGACTTCTTATAAGAGCCCACATGAAGCACAAAACCTCACCGGCAGCCAGTGCCTCTCTGCTCGACCAGATTGACATAACTCCAGAGGAACGTGAATTTGGCTGGAACGGAAGCCTTAGTGGTGTCAGGGGGCTTAGTGAGCAGCAGGCACGGCGAATCTTACATTTCGAAAATTCCCTCAGGCAACGCCTTGAGATCGACAGAACCGAAGACCATGAGCGAGATGCGACATCTGGCAATGAATTCGGAAAGCTTACCTCCGTGAGTATCAATTTATCTGTGTATTCTTAACATTGTACGAATGGTATCTTTTCGGTCCGCTCATCCATGCTCCCCCAACTAATTACTTCTCATCAGGGTACCACCAATGAGCCTTTGGAAGTAGTGGCTGCAAGGCATTGTCGGGCAACTTGCACCCGGAACCCATTCAGTCCTTGTATTCTGAAGCCGCGGGCGTCACTTCCAGAGTACCAAAGATTGGCCAGTTCGAGACTCAACCGTTCTCTGCGCATCAGTAGCAGCCAGTCCTCTTTCTTACGGTTCAAGAGCATCAAGAGGTCAAAGTCTGAGGAAAGCAGCTGGTCGAGTGAATCCGACGAGTTTTCCTACCTCATCGCTCGCGAAAAGATAGGCAATTCAGATCAAACTAGCTTAAGTGATTCCTATACCCGGAGCCCAGGTAGCGGGGCCAATCTAGAGAGAAGTCATACCAAAACTGGTTTGCGTGGAATCATTCGAAAATTAGGGGGAGCTCTCAGTCTGAACCCGAATCGCTGCCACAGGAAGGCACATCCAGACGACAATTTTCCGGAAGATAGCTCATATCTTTGTCATTTGTCTCATGACATGGTTGGTTCTGCATCCCCCTTTCCAATGCGCCCGCCCCTTTACCTAGGTTCAAATCATCCATCTACGTCGTTAAACGGGGAGTGGATAGGCGTCAGCCGGAAAGTGGTCTCAGAATCAAACCGCTAGTAAACTCGATAAATGCAGAAGCCAGATCAGGATTCTTCTTTATTTATCTCGACAGAGACGGAAGACGGAAAAAAACTGCAGATAGCTCCAACTCTCGCTCGCACTAAAAATATATATATTTATAATAACCCTAGAATTCCTTTGCGACTGAATTTGTTTATTTGATTGTTTTTTCTTCTTCTTTTTTTCAATCTCCGGAAGAATGTTGACACACAACAGAATCTTTGAAAAACCGGAGAAACAGATGATTTTGTACCGTTTAATTTTCACACAGTAATTCACTTTGTATGAAGAAATTCATTATTAAGGTGGTGGGAGATGAGTTCTGGGTATGGAAGCTCAATTTAATCTCATGTTTCAAAATACCAACCAGACAAGTTGGATGTGCATGTTCCTTAAAGCTAGAATTGTAAGACAATATAGATCCCCTTAGCCATTGTCTCTTCCCTCAGGCTCCGCGTTACTTGAAATCACAGTTGAATTGGATCCGACATAACTGGGCTGATGTGGGGTTTGCTTCCTCTAAAAATCGGCCGCTATGTTTTTTGCGCTCTTTGGTCGCCAAACGGCCAGTGAAGCGGCCTTCATTGACACCTCCGGAGCGGTAGACTAGTGCTAGCAGAACTTGCAAGCCGCTACGCTGAGCTTTGCAGCAGCGTTCTGGCCGCTTCCTCCGTTAATAGATACACAAACGTGAAGCAACAGCTGAAAACCACACCCGTCAACGGCCATGCCGCCAGCTATTAGCCGGTACCCTTTACGACGCACTATGTAGCTAGCACAAAATGATAGCGTCGCTGGCCTATTAGTGTTGCAGGCTGTATCCAAGGCGCAGAGCCGGTCAGATAGCACCTTATCATGCGATGCTTGCCGACTGACCAGAGGATTGCCTGGTTGGATTGGTCCTGACTACTCTAAATGAACCAGCTTATCTTGCGGCTTGCGCCATGGTCAGTTCGGATCGCGGTCAAGCCGAGCCTGCGTGTAATAGTCTCTGGCATCAGGCCTGGCTCATGAAAATATAAAAAGACGCCGTCGTTGCTCACCTCAAACTTTCCCTCATCCCATCTTATCATCAGTCATCAGTCTTCAATCTAATTTCTTCCGTGCTTAGTATTTAATTTGCTCCCTTTACCAACCCCTTCAACTTCATCTATTCATAATTTTATCGAGCCTGGTGCTCTATTTTATCCTCAAATATCTAAAACTAACTTATCCAGCCGCCCCATAACTTATTCCTATTCAGAAAACCATGTCTCGCTCAATCAGTGTACTAGCCGTTTCCCTCGCTCTTTTAATCGGAAACATCTATGGACAGGTGGCGATCACTTTCATGTACGGCCAAACAAACGGACTAACAGGCAAGGGCTTCGGAACCATGGATGGAGCCCCACGAGACATCACTACGTTCGTCTCTCAATCTGCTTGTCAATCGGTCTACATACCTCTCTCAAAGTCTAACCAATCTTTCTTCTCTAGGCCCCCTGCTCTTCTCGATACATCAATCATCAAAGATTCAGAAATCCAGAGCGGAACTGCCTCTCCCTGTGGACGTACAATCATGTCTGGAAAACTGGAAATGAAAAATTCTCTCAACCGAGGTTTGTCCTGCTTACTCTGAATAAACAAAACAAAAACAACAAGACATCAAGCTTATTCTAATAATCCATGTTACTCTTTGAATCGTAGCTGAAGATGGAGGCTTGCCAGATGTTGGACAAAACGGCAAGATCAAACTGGTAGCACACGTGGTCAACCCCAAGGGTTTGTTGCGCAGACTTGTAATAATCAAAAAATTAGCGAAGAGGCAAAGCTGACTGAAAGCGTTTTCTCGTCTTTAGGAAGCGGCCCCTTCATTTGCGGAGTCGATACAAACGCGAATGGAAACAACTTTGCGACGATTCCCGTGACGGTGAATGTGCCTGCCAATGCCGCCGCCAACGGCAAGCCCCTAGACTACTCGCTGGAAGCACAACTTCCCCAGGGCACCAAATGTCAAGGAGGTGCCGACGGCCAGACCTGTATTGTTAGGTGTACAAACGTGAGCGCCAACACATCATTCAACAATCTTCAGCGCTTGTCTTTTCTAACGATGATTGTTCTTGTTTCGCAAGGCTAATGCCGGCGGTCCCTTCGGCGGCTGCATGGCCTTCACTCAAATGCAAGGGCTATACAACGATCCTGCTCCGGCCGGTAGTGGACCCACTGCTAGCTTCCAGCTCGACAGGATCACCGAGAACCCGGTTACACGTGAACCAAACCTTTTCGATGATGCCAAGTCCAAATTGTCACGTAAGTCTTGAAGCACTTGGCTTTCATTGCTACCACGAACCAGCCGCTAACGATTGAGTCTTCTCGCTTCCCTCCTGTCTATATTTCTGGAGCAGCCAAAGACCTTCAAGCCCTCACCCCTCCAACCGGCAAAGCCAAAAGACGTTCGCTTCTCCAGTACCGAAAATAAGCCGCACTAGATTTTAGCTACCCCCTTAACTCTTGTCTTTGATGCCTTGTATTCTTAAATCCGTACCTGAGAAATGTTAATGTGCTTTTTTGGAGCTCAGTCGAACTCGCCCAATGCAATGATTGTGTCAACCATACCCCCTAAAAAACACGCAACTGCATGTGGTATTGATGAGTGAATACTGAAAAATGCGATTGTGCCGTGAATGTATAGTCATGTAACGACACGACACGATCTCCCTGTGATGACGGCTCGAAGCTTCATTTTCCCTCCTCAACATTTGGTGTCTAAGTCATCCAATTATGCCTAGTACATACCGCAGGTAGAAAAAGCCGAAAATGCACCCAGGGACCGATTGTAAACCTGATATTTGTAGTCACATCATGAACAGATGTTTTTTTTTTTGATGTGGAAATGAAAAGCACTTTCACGAAGATGACCAAACAAGCAAGAACAAAAAAAAAGAAGTGAAAAAAAAACGGTAACGATGATGACGAGGAAATGATAAAAATACATCTCCATGTTTCCGGGCGTATTATTGTGATTGGGGAAGGGATGCGATTTTGGTGTTGATTATTCAGTGTAGTTAAAGTTGAGTTGGGTTTGATCAACTAATATAGTGTGAGTTCCGGCTTTCCATGGGAGAGGAGAGTCCATTGAGTGAGAGAAGGAATGTAACGATAAGTTAAGTAAATCGATCTCTCGAGATCAAGCAAACAACAACAACAAAACAAAAAGCCAGGAGCCTTGAGGGAAGTAAAAAAGGAAAGGAAAGTGGTCATTTTAAATTTATTCTTAAATTGTTTCTAGCCGAAGCCGCCATGGCCCCCATGGTTTGGACGCTGTGGATTATTCGAGTCTTGTTGTTCTATTCTGGTGGAGAGACCGCCACTGAGCGAGTTAAGTCTGCCTTGTAAGTGCAGATTATCCGCTTTCAGCCTCTCATTCTCCAGTCGTATTTGCTGCATGTAGTCAACCGCTGTTACAGAAAATGTCATCATTATGGTAACATTGGAGAAAGTGGCTAGCTCAGTCAATTGATGAAACACAAGAGGAAGCAAAAACAAAAAAGGTGCTAATCGATTGGAGGATTGAGATGCTCACCTCGACTGAGGGTTTCCCATTTACTTCCTTTGGAGTGTCTTTCGTCCGTCACGGGTAGGACTTCACGTAATTCGTCAAACAAGTCTCTCATTTCTTTCCTTCGTTTCCGTTCAGCAAGTTTATGACTGATCTTCAACTCGGGCGAGCGTGAATAGGGACTAAGGGCGCCAGCTGTACCAAGCCTGTTAGCCTGGTTGATATGGTCCATGTCTTGCGGCCCACCACCGTCGCTTTCCTCCGGGACGGGCCGTGAATGAAGAAGGGGTAGACGGTCGAGGCGCGTGCCAGCCAACCTGTCTTTGAGTTCGTCTTCAACTCCCGATGAACGTCGTCCTGTCACCGGATCATCAAATGAGTTGGACTTGCTCAGGTTCCATCCTCCGTTTTCGGTCATCACTCCGGGTCGGGCCTGATAGCTCGCTCGATTGTTGGCCTGTTCTCCAGGTGGGATTGGGGGAAACGCATAACTGCCAATGCTTGCAGCTACTGCTGTCTGGGTTGGCGAGAAGGGTGGATTTGATGATGATGACCAAGACCGATGACGCAATGAATGGTCAGATATCAGGTTTGGGTTATCATCCGGTCCTTCGCCTCCCCCACTCCCACCGCTTTGCCTGCGATCGAACCATGTCCCGGTGCTACTACTGACAGTCGAAGTTTCGGACTGTCGGCGGACGTCGAGGCGATCATTAGCACTGGGTAGCATAGTATACTCCGCCAGGGCCTCCCGTTGAGAGTGATTGGAAAGCAGGCCAGGCGAATTCCAAGGATGATCAGCTGGTCCGCTTTGATCGGGCGGTAGAGCGTAGTAGACGGGAGGGGGGACAGTGGAATCAGAGGTGCTTTGGCTGCTGTGGCGACGCTTCATTGGACTCGGAGGTTTCTGGTGCAACTGATGCCGGTGGTGTGGCGTTGGATAAGGCCATTGTGAGCCGCCAGGTAGAGGGAAGCCACGCGGATGATCCGATCCGCTTGGATTCGCAGCAAGACCAGGGGTGCGGACTTTAGACGGATCTTCGGTTTGGCCACTATCAAGCTCATTGAGGCGCGATGATCCTCTGCGTCTCATGGCGGAGGATGGCCGTCTGCTAGTGAGGGGGCCGATTGAGACGGCGCTGAGTTCGGGCGGCTGATGGGCTGATGGGATGGACGGGAAGCTTCTGGGTGAGACAGGGCTGTTGGACGTCTGCGGATAGAGGTGGAAGGAGGGCGAAGGAGGGCCCGCGGTGGTTGGGCTGAATTTGGACGGCTGGACCGGATGGTCAGCTTGGCGGAGACTGTTTTGCTGTCAGCCAAAGGCTGGTTAGGATTGACAGTGGCCGGGAACGGATGCTCGGATGGAGGGGGATGGTGGTGGTGATGATGATGATGATAGCGGTGGTCGGGTGAGTTCGAGTTGAGTAAGATGTTATCGAGATCGGCAGCACTTCCACGGCGCCGGGCAGCCGGGTCGATGGATGCGCTGTGCTCGACCGGCTGGGAGGGGAGTTGGAGGTTTCTTGAGCTCTGTTCCGGTTCGGCACGACTGAGGCTTGGATGCTGATTCATTTCTCGGAGTGAAGGCAGTGTGGTACTCCGGGCACTACTCAGACTGGCTGGCTGAAGACTGCTAGCTGGAGCGGGTGGCAAGGAGTGGGCATGCAAGCTGGGGTCGGTGATCGAAGCTCGGCGGCGACCGGGTGGGCTGTCATCGGTGCTGATCGGCTGAAAGGGAATATCAGAGACAAGGGAATCAGGAGCCGAACGGACAACAGGCTGGGTGGGGGTGTGGTGGATGACGGATCGGATGAGCCGAGCAAAGAATCAAAATAATATTGCCATCTCTATGACCCACTGTCACCTCAGAACGAGGAATGACTGGATTCCTGGCTGAGATTATTGGCGAAGCAAATTCGAAAAATAAGCACATGGACATCACCTGGGGGATTTTCTGGTCCCGATGAGAGATGTGGAGGGAGGAAGGGCGGGCGCAAGAGGAAGAGGAAGAGGAAAAGGGAAGGGAAAAACAAAAACAGAAAAAACAGAAACAAGGAGCAGGAGGGCGACGATACATTCATCAAGCACTACATAACGCACAAGTTGTCTATGAAGTGGACTCGAGCCCAACGAGGGTAATTTCATTAAACCTGGCCCAGTGGTGGCCATCTTTTCCCTACTTTATCTGTTTTTTGTTTTTTGTTTTTGTTTTTTTGCTTGTTTCCCTGCTCTTGGCCGAGCTCCGGCGATAGTACTATGCTAGTTGAACGGCGTCTGTGTGTTGAGAGGCAGACACGGAGTAAATGACTCGGGAACCGGACGGCAGATCCAAGAAATTAGAGTAGTCAAGATGAAGCGGGAAGTTTCGCCAGTCCCGGTGGGTGTCAGTGGTGGTCCAAAAGAGGGGTGTGGATGCTTTCTGGTTGGAAGAGAAGGCACAGACGGAGCAGCAAAGAACGAAAACACAAAAGGAAAAGGGAAAGGGAAAAATAAAATGGGACTGTGTAGCTGGTGAGGAACGAGGAAGATGGAGAGATAAGTACTGTGGGAGGTGTATTGGATTCAATTTATAATATTTATATAAACTGTAAAAGGTTGATGATGACGAGCTCCCTTGAAGAATGGGGATAAAATGTTTGTAAATAAGTGTGGTGAGGTGGAAGGAGGGGGGAGGGGATTAAGGCGGAGGTTATTAGAGAGACACAAGAAATACTGCTGAACGCCAATGACGATCGTCGCTTGCCTCTCTGTACTCTACTCTCGCCGGCTGAGGAAGTGAGGCGCACACATCTGGGAGAGGGGTTCGAGTAGGCCGAGTGCAGCGGAGTCTGATAGCACTGCTGGGTATTTAAAGCAAAGGGATTGTCTGATATGCGCTTCTGCAGGTTCTGGATCAGTTGGGCTGGCTGGGTGTTGGAGTTATAAGGATTTCAGTCTCGCTGGCGGGACCAGTGCCTTCATGCGAAAGTTCTTTGAGCTGGTCGTCGCACCACAAAAAAACAAAACAATAAGTTGGATCTGTCAAGAATTTAAGTTCGGATTCTTAAAACCCAGGCAAATGAAGGGGGCTGTTCGAGCTTATAGAAAAACTCAAATGAACTGAGATTCCGACAAAACTTCACTGTCCACGTCTGCCCAGAACCATGAACCGCTTTGTGAGTCTGTCGCACCTTCATGCTCACGCAGAGCCAGCGCAGATCTGAGTCGAAGTACGTACAAATATTCATACATAGAACAATCTGCAACACAATTAATAAAAAGAAAACAAGAATGGTTCATGATGAAAAACGCGGGAAAAGGCGTGGCCAGGCGAACATCAACATGAGGACTCATGACTCAACAACACCTCGGACCCCATGAGGACCTCCTAAAAACCTGGCAGGTTCCAGCAATGATGTGACGACAAAATGGGTCGTAACATATTTTTTTACTGGTTAAAACTTCAAATGAATCAAACGCTAACTCTATTCCGTATCTCAATTGATTACATAATACATACAGGCCCTCTTGGTATCGAGGATCCACAAATAACCGGCGGTACATTTTATTTACAGCATGTGGTTTACCCAGAAATTAACACATTCTTGTAGTAAAATACAGAAAGCTTAAAAGTTAATTGGATGGTCCTGTGAAGGCTGTACAAATATTTGGTCCAAGTAACATTATTCTGACTCCCAACTGCAATGATTAAAATTCAAAGATGAGGATTCCTCAAGTTGATTCCAATGTCACATCTCATTTCCTTGCAAAATCATAATAGATTCATAGAAAGACTTTTGTTTGAATTAAGGAAAAATCAATATGCATAACATGATAAGACTATTAAACCATAACCATGCAGTGAGAGTAACATAGGCGATCGCCATCTCCTATTGACATTGTATGCAACTGTTTGGGATCCAGATTCCAGGCTGGAGCTTGCCAGAGCTTTGCAGCCATGGAACCTTGTCTGATGCTATCAGTATATAATATTATTCTTGCAATTTCTGTAGAAGAAAAAAAAAATTGTACACCAGTGCGTACAATCAAACTGAATAAAAAAGGGCGTGAGTCTATCCATTTTTAAGGCCTAAGTTTTAACTCCTGAGAGCTCGTAATTCGGGATCGGACGGTGAGCAGGTATACTCTCGGCCTAAACCTGGCTGGGTCAGCCGATTGTGAGCGTTAGATAGTTGAATTGCTTTCAGGGATCCAAATTCAACATGACGGCGGATTGAATTCATTATGACGAGCGAGATGTTTATAAAAGAAAGAATGCTTGGATGAACTTTTTGGCCCGTTGAGACTTGCTCCTATTCTTGCATATGTATTATAAGGCTTCAGAAGCAATCTGCGATCGTTGAGAACTTGAGGATTACAATTTCAACTGTGCTGTAGAAGTGGGATCCAGCAAGACGATAAGATGTATAGGATGATGTGCGAGAACTCAATGAACCCAAAACTCCTAACTTAACTAAATCCCTTCCCTTCCTGGTCGGAGTGGTAAACCACTCTAACTTAACTAAATCCCTTCCCTTCCTGGTCGGAGTGGTAAACCACTTGTCGCATTGCGCCGACCGGAGGGAGGGAGGGTCCCTGCGGGACGGCGTCCCCCCTCCCATAGAGGGACTTAGCTAAGTTAGCCAAAACTCCTGGGCGAAATCATTCATCAGGGGGCATCTCAGAAGTACTGTCTAAAGAGCTTATGTACCCATACCCTTGGTCCACGTACCGGTACAACCATAGCTAGCCCTAGCCAATCAGTCTGGAGAATTTGAATGAGATACATCCTGATACATCGATCTCACACCGGATGATCGCCGAGCATGCACAGTTTTTGAGTCTGTCGTACATACAACAATTGTGCCCACAAATCCTAACATGTCCAGAAATACCAGCACCCTCTTTCTTATCTTCCCCAATGTTCTATGATACATCTTATCTCAAATTTTAAGAGCTTCCAAGTTTCTTCGCTATATTATGTAACTTCACCTTAGATCTATCACATGAAATCTATGTATCAGGCTGATTCAAAATTGCCAACTGGACATGACTTATTCTATCAAGGAAGAAGTGGCCTGGAATTTATTGGAACCCTACGGCACGCGCATGACGAGACCGAAGACGTCAAGAGCAGGAGGGGCACTAGAATTTGACTGTTCAGACGCGTTGATCGTGTCAAAATGGGTGTTTTTCCGAGCAATTTTGACTGAATAATGTATAGTGGGTCTTTTGAAATTTTCATATCGATAAAGCCGCTGCCGATGAGCCAGAGGAGCTGCTCCAGCTCGAGAGACCGAGAATCGCAAGTCGCTCGACCACAGGCCAGAACCAAAGGCCACGCACATGATTTCATGGAGTGTATTGCGGCATCGGGTGACAAACTCACGCGGCTGAAGCTGTTTATGTTTGTCAATGTTGTATATTTCTATTCAGCCGCTGCTGACCATGATCTCGAGACCGAGGCGGGAAGCCCTACCTAGCACGCCAACAACTTCTCATCGCACTTACATTTACACGTGAAAAGGAGGCCTACATAGACGTAAATAATTAGATAATCAACCTTTTTAGTCCCTCAAGTATTATGGGTTATAGGGTGTCCGGACTGCTAGGCCAGCAGGGATTGCCACGCGCTATCTCTTTTGTGCACCATTTTTGCCTTCTATGATCTGCAGCGGGATATCCCTGCTTGACGGATCCACGAACGCTGGTTTGGTAGGTTTCGCTAGGTTTCGGTATCTTGGAATTCCGTTAAACGCGTTTTTTTTTTTGAAAGTGTTTATATCAAACTAATCTTATTCCTCGCATCAAGCTGGCTGAAAAAATCAGACCACGAGATGACTTGTGATATACTTTAACTTCTGATCACGACTCACGAGTCACAATCAAGCGAGCCGTAGCCGATGCGACTTGTGCAGCGATGTGGGTACGTACCTCTTTGTGCTCTTGCCCATCTTCACATTTGTTTGTAGAGCGCCACTCGACTGGATAAACATTTACGTGGGCCTGTGTGGGCGTTTGTAGTTTTAAGAGGTACATATCGAGCCCCTCGCCGCCATTGCTGTTGAGGATGCTCTCTTTGTCACTTGCCTGAGATTGGATCAACCCTTGTGTCTGAATAGTCATACGGAGTGGGCACCACGTAAAACCTGTAGAGATCAACTTCTCAGAAACCCACATTCGAGGCTACATGCTTGCCTGCCTCCGGTAAGATTTCTTGAGATATGCATCTGGAGGAAGACATTGGAAACTTGTGTGCGCTCATTGAGATTGTACGCGAAGATTCCAAATACAGCCAAACCGAGAAAGCTTGCGTCTCGGTTGGCGGAAGATTCAAAAAAAAAAAAAAAAACCGACTGCAGTCGGAATTTTTGGAAGAATACAGCACCCTGTATGCCCATTCGCATACAGGGGTTACTTCAGGGTAAAATACCTATCTTTTTTCTCCCTCAGTTCCAGGTCATGAGAGTAAGACCATCGGGATCCTGAGGGAAAGTTTAGTCAAACCGGACCATTGACATGACCGACACCCGTGCCCCTGCCCCCCTAGGGCTGGCTGGTTGGGTCCGGTGCGGTCCTGTCGCCGCTACCGGCAGGTATGTTGGAACCTGTACGATGGCTGTATTCTTCCGAATATTCCGACTGCAGTCGGGATTTTTTTTATTTTTTTCTGAATCTTCTGCCAACCGAGACGCAAGCTTTCTCGGTTTGGCTGTAATGCTTTGGAGGATGAAAGATAGTGATGGCCAAAGCCCAAGCCACGCTGGATTGCTGTCCAATCTTGTTCATTTTTATCTATTTAAGGAGGCTCCGTTAAGCTTCAGTACACATTTGAGAAAATGTGCAGGATGCCCTATTATTATGTAGACTTGCGTCGGATACACATATCGAGGGTGCAATCTTTGTGTTGAAAATCTACAATCAACAGTTCACTGTTGATATTTTCATTATTCTTATCATGAAGAGTCAATCTTCTTGAATGCTGGCACAATACTACAAGCACAGGTGCCCATGAGATATCAGTTCCAAAGATTCATGACTACATCTAGTTTGGGGATGATTTTTCTGTCTCCATTTTTTGAATGTGTCCAATCAATCATCCAACATCAACTCAAGAGCTAAACTGTATTTATTCTGTATTTATTCCCACATGCACACTGTCCAAAGATAAAAAGGGATGTGAATCAACCATAAATAATGTCTTCAGGAGAGAAGGAAATTCTTTCCTATTAATGTATAATTTATGTGAAAGGGTAAGGACTAATTGGACAATTTGAATCAAGAATAGAATATATCTGGTGGACTCATCTGAAAAAAAAATGAATATGATGAACCAGAGTATCTCCATAGGTGATTTTTCTTGTGGGAATTGTAGGTCCTGGAATTAGCAAACATCCTTGTCCCATGGTTGATATGCCCAGCATCTTTATGCAAGATCTGCCGGCTTCCATGATAAACTTGAAATTTTTGATTCCTTCTTTTAAGGCAATTTTCCACAGCTTGAATTCTGCTTTTAAAAACATGGTCTGCAAAGAAGAAGAAAGTCCATCTCTACCTGTGGGTACTTAGAAGGGGGTCTTGCATGAAAGTCATTCTAGTTTCCTATTGTAAGCTTTGAGTGTACAAAAATCAGCCTATATTAGATTTCTATTCAAAATTTGACTGTGAAATTGAACTGTATGATGGATTTTAGCTGATGAGCTTTGGATTTTTCATCACTGTTGATTTTCTGAATCAGTTGTTCAAACAGATGGGTCTAGGATACACATATAATGTGGAAAATCTGTAAATAAAGAAAAGAAGTGCTCATACAACAGAAACGTTTCTGGTAAACTCTGGTGTCAATTCTGATTTGTTGAAAAATCCCAAAGCACCATGAAAGTTGGAATGTCATTTGCTAGCAAGTGACATTGAGGAGGATTTGGGGGAGCCTTCACTGAGGCTTGGGTGAAAGTTTCCTTTGTAAGTGTCCAAGCCACCACCATACCCATGTGTCTCCTAGTGCAATATGCAAGTGTGTCAGGTAAGCTTCAAGTGTAGGATGAACCAAGTAACACATGTAGCCTCTTGATGTCACTTGTTAGTAAGAGACACAACTAATTTTGTGATGAAAGAAAGGTCAGAAAATAAGCAAAAATACACACATACAATGAGACCTGTCTAAGGGCATGCCCTTCTGTGTGCATAACCTGTACAAGGGCACAGTGAAGGGCTTTTACCACTTCTTGTGTTTGCTGCAAACTCAATCTCAGGGAATAAACTGGTTGAAGGTATACTTCCCCCCAGGGGTAAGCCATTGATCAGGCTTTTTAGAATCAATTTCTGAAACCTAATGTCCAGTGCACAATCACATCATAATCATAAAAAAGGTCAGGTGGGGAGTCTCTTGGGTATTCAAAACTGGCTTATCAGCATTGCCAAGTTCTTATGGATTTGGCAAGGGCTGAGAAGAAAAAAGCTAAAACATTCAGCAAGCAATAGTGCATTGGCATGTCAGGTATGTATGAGTTGTCACTAGAAATTATTCATGCTGTGGGTTCAGGTTTGGTTGAACTTCAGCTGATGTATATTTCTTAAACCTGTGCACTCTATAGTGATTAGATATTTTGGCACAGTTTGATTTGTGTTTGTTGAGCTCAACATCTCTTACAGCGCCAAGTACAAACCTCAAAGCATTTGCCCTATGGTGACTCATTCATCAAGATAAAAGAAAAAATGAACATTTTTTTCTCCACAAGTTTCAAACTCTACACTTGTTAAAAATACAGCCATCATTCACAAAACACTTGATTGTAAAGAGAAAACCAGTAGTTAGGGAGGAATAATAGAAGTGAAATAAACGAGAAAATTTGATCTATACATTCACTTAGAGAAAAAAAGGCGGTTTACCCAAGCTTTAAAGGTCAGAAGTATTTAAAAGAAATTGCGTTGATGTGTATAAACCAATGATGCGAGACGATTTGCGATAAAAAAAAAGAAATAAAATGCTCATGGTGATGTTTTGGTAGCTATGAACTTATACTAACAAAGTGTTATCTGAAGAATGATTGTGACTCCAGAATCTCAAATTGACGATTTGACGCGACAAGCAATATGAATCTGCTGGAACGAGAACGCCCTATTTGAAAGGCCACTCCGAGTGAACTTCTTAACTAAGTCGTTTTTGAATGAACTTGGCCAAAGTTTGTCGTTGGATGTTAGAAGACCCCTCGTATATTGCACCCTTTGGAAGAGGTAAGACAGGTAAACAGTCGCAATCAATATCGTTATTTATTTGTTGATTTATAAACTGGAAAATGTGCCAGACAAAGGAAAGGAAAAACTGACAATCTTGGAGTCTCGCCAATATTTTTCGATTCCAGTTTCTCGAGTAAAACCGACTCCTCCACACCACTCGATAGCACTTCCACTAGCGTTTTGGGCAACTTGAGACGAAAACAATTTGGCCATGGCTGCCATCTCTGTGAATGGCTTGCCTTCCTCCTTCAATCGGGCCGCGTTGTAAGTCAACATCCTTGCGGCTTCTATCTCCGTATGAACATCGGCAAACTGAAATTGCATTCCTTGGAACCTGGAGATTTTTAGATAATTGAATGCAAATTCTCATGCAAGTTTCTTTGGGACGATGGACTGCAGATGCTTACTCTCCAACCGGTTTTCCAAATTGCTTGCGTTGATAGGTGTATTTGACGGCCTTGTCAAATGCACCTTGAGCCAAGCCGACCATCTGAGCAGCGATTCCGATTCTGCCCTCATTCAAGATTTCGATGGCATATCTGAAATAATAAACGGAACGCATAAGAACAAAGACAATGGATTGGCTGGGTAGGGATTTTTAATCTTACTTGTATCCCAGACCCTCTTGACCAATCAGATTCTCCTTTGGGACCTTAACATTATCGAAATTCAAAGTACAGGTCGAGGAGGCTTTGATGCCTAATTTTTCTTCCTTCTTAGCAATCTCGACACCCATGCTCTTCTCCAACAAGAAACAACTGATCCCCTTGTAGCCTTTACTTGGATCGAGATTTGCAAATACAACGAAGATCTCGGCTTCCTTACTGTTAGTGATCCACATCTTACTCCCATTGATGATATAATCACCATTGGAGTCTTTGGTCGCCCGAGTAGCCAATGCGAACGCATCTGAACCGCTCGCAGGTTCGCTAAGACAGAAACAAGCGACTTTGGAGGTCGAGAGGTCGGGCATATATTTGTCCAAGAGCGCCTTGGAGGCGTAGTTTCGGATGGTCGTATTGGCAATCGTGTTGTGTACGTCACAGATCAATGAGACTGATGGGTCTACTTTGGCGAGTTCTTCGATCACTAGTATCGCTGAAGTAAACGAAGCGCCCGAGCCACCATGTTCTTGAGATGTTTCGATTCCCATAAACCCGTTATCAAATAGGCCCTTGATGATCTCCGGATCCACTGCAACCACAGCCAGACCCAGGTCAGCTATTGATTTAGGGATTTGAATCAACTGAGCGGGATTGGTTTAAATAAATTTCACTCAACTTGTTTCCTTTTCATCCATCTCTCTCACCTTTGGGGCGACAACTTCTTCAGCAAACCTTTGGGCCAGATCTTTGAGCATCGACTCATCCTCGGTGAATGTATATAAGGAAGTGGGCTGAGGTTCTCCATCCTGAGATCGAGCGATTGGATGGCTGGAGAAGGCACGTTGAAGAGCTGATGTGGGATGACGAGAAGAGAGTAGTCGGGGGGTGGGCTTGGAGGATCGAAGAAGTTGCTGGGTCCGTAGGAGGACTTGACGAGAAGGGTTCGTGAGCATGAGGACTGATGAGAAGATGAAGATGAAGGTAAAGATAATGGTTTGTGGAGGGTGAAGTTGGTGTTGACCGTTTCCGCTGAGTCTGAGTTCCGTTTTGGGAGTGATTGGCAAGCAAGTGGTACTGAACACAGCACCAGAGATCAGCTGATTCCTTGAGATCAGAATTCTAGCATGACGTCATTTAGTCAATCCGACACCCGATCCGCAAAACAGAGAGATATTGATACTGTCGGATATCCAACCAATCGGATAGACATCTGGCGGCTATGCATATGTAACTTATGGTATGCAGGTTATGTTTGAATCTACCTCCTCTAGCTGGCTAAGTTAGCGCCCGCAGGCACTACATACCATACCTTACCTTACCTTACCCTACACTGTCAGGCTGCCGTGGGCTAGGAGGGGAGACTTGTGATAAGTTAGGCCAATTTAACACTTAGCCGCCGGCTACAGTGAAACCAATCCACCCCACTCTGCTAAAGATGCTCTTGTCCTTGATCCCATTGTTACCAATCTTCTCCTTCATGATACCTATTCCAGCTGCACAATTTAAGATTTGGCATCGTCCAGACAAAAAACATCATGGCGTAGTACATAGTTGCACTAGATGCTACCTCGCTGACGGCCAGTCGGGTCGGCGTCGCTCAAAATGACTACGTACGAATTCCGATTTGAGAATCTCATCGAGAGTTGCGTACTCTTTTATTCAGAGGAAACTTGAGATGTGGAAACATGATTTTGGTCTTAACGAGAGTTGCTCAGACTCATTGTTGAATGTATAAAATTTATGAGAGAAGTTTCCATCCCCAATACTCGGTCCGCCAGTGTTTGATTGTCTGTTAAGATAAATTTAAAACGTTGTTCTCAAAGGGAGGCTCATCAGAATCTGGAGGTCCGGTCTGTTCAATTGATTTAGGGATCTTTATAAATCTCACCGGCCAGCTAAAGGGTACAACCAGTTCTGAAACCTTTCACCATGCTCACCTGGTTATTTTGTCTGCTGGTAGGTCCTTTCTTGAACTTATCCTTGTGTCACAGAACCGGGGAAGCTTCTGAGAATTCTTTATTCTTTTACAGCTCATCGAAAAATGCTTTGCAATGCATTGCCCTCAACGATCACCTCTGCGTGGCCCTCGAGACGATCATCACATCATTACGATCGATACTTTGTCGCCGGATTCACTCGATCCAATCCAGAAAGACTCATGTATTGGTGCCTCGACAAACACAGAAGCTTCAGATGACCCTGAAAACCCATCAGTTCATTTGGCTTACAGTTCCAATCATCAAGTAAGTTACAAGCCTCTTTTCCCAGATTCCAAAATGGAAAATAGTATCTCCAACTGAAAATTTTCAATGGGATGGCTCGTGGTCTCACTCCAGGGGCAGGAAAATCCGTCAACGAGCATCGCGATGGACAATCACCCAGCAGAGATTGAAAAGATGACCCGAAGCAGAAATTCGAGGACTTCCAGCTTACAGGATCCAATATCTCTGTCACCCATTCCTAATGTAGAGCTTATCCCAAATGAATCCGAACAGATAGCGAACCAAGTCGCCCAGATACATGTACCACATACACCAGAAGCTACAGATTGTCCAATTTGCTTTTTAGAAATAGTGCGCCCGGAAATCGACCAGTCGGGATCGGATATCGATCAGCCAGGACCGAAAATCAGTCAATTCGGACTGGAAACCATTCAATCAGAACCGGAAAACGATCAGTCAGAAATTGAAGCGTGCACTCATTGCCACAGAAGATTTCATTCTGAATGCCTCCAAGCCTGGCTACAAAAGAGGAATACGTGCCCAACCTGTTCTGAATCAGATCCCATACCTGTCCATTCTCCTCAGGAAATAGTAAAATCCCCTAATCCTGTTGTAAACATTTATAACATGGTGAACCAGTGCAAAGGGATAACAAAAGCGAAGATCATGATCAGGGACCACCCAAAGGTCTTTGAAGCTGCATTGGTATCCCTTATTATGGGCGTAATTTTGTTCATATTCACCAGGCATATTCCAAAGTGAATGCTTTGAATGTATCGTGAATCATTCTTAAATATCTTTTATTTATTTCATATCCTTTCAATTTTTCTCTTCCCCATCAGGATGAAGATAATCAAATTTTACCCAAACATCCCTGATCTCGTTACATGTATGCCTGTTTTTAATAATTCCCACCAAATCAGGTTAGATTTCACTTAAATTCGGGGAAAAAAAGTTTACTTATTTGCCATATTTTGAGATGATTTCAGGGCTGAATTTCAGGTTTCTTTCTCAAATAGTTAGTTGGCACTTGGGAGTAAAGTTTCTCAAACCTGTTCTTGAATCATCTGATTCAAACTTGCACTCAACTGAATTCTTCCCTCAAAATCCATTTCACCCATTACAATTGGGCCTTAATAAAAAAACCCAGTTTTTCCGCATTTTGACGCGGTTTTGCTTCGGCACAGTGCACGCGGTTTCCGTGTTTTAACGCGGTTTTTTAATTAATTTATTTTTGCCATTAATTTTGAGGTTTTATTTTTTATTTTTTAAGGGCCTTAATAAAAAAACCCGCATTTTCCATGTTTTGACGCACTTTTGCTGCGGCACAGCACACACGCAATCCGTGTTTAAACGCGCGTTTTTAATTAATTTATTTTTGCCATTAATTTCGAGTTTTATTTTTATTTTTTAAAGTTGTTTCCTACACTTTGAAAGGTGTAGAATTTAATGGTAAAAACCATTTTTCATAAAAATGAATTTTGATTATTAATTATTTTTTTTCACTCATTTTTCAATTAATTGTTTGCATGTATGTACAGTGGGTTGACAGAAAAAATGGAACCCCCAAACACTGAATTTTGGGGGTCAATCTGAAGATTTTTCAAAGTTTTTTTTTTGGAATGTGGGACATTGAGGGGCTGGGAAACTAACTGTGGGGACAGTTTTGTTTCATTGCAGAAAAAAAAAAAGTTACAATTAAAAAAAAAACCCTGCAATTTTTAAATTTTTTGATAAGGCCAGGAAAAATATGAGACATAGGTGGGGGGATTGTTGAGGGGCTGAGAGGAATGATTAAGGAAGAAAAAGTTGAAAAAAATGAAAACTTTTTTTTTAATTTTTTTTTTATGTTTTTTTTTTTTTTTTTTTTTTGAGTTATTAGTAAAAAGAAACAGTTTTTTTACCACCGGGTTGGCCCTCCATCAGCATCAACAACAGCCTTCATCCTGTGGGGCATAGACTCGAGGAGGTGATCGAAGGTTTGGGTCGGATAGTCATCCCAGGCCTGGCTGATCGCTTCCTTGAGTTCGGGGATCGATCGTGGGTTGTAGAGGGTTTGGATGGCCACCTTGAGGTCCTTCCAAACATTCTCGATGGGGTTGAGATCGGGGGACTGGGCCGGCCAGTTGTCGATTTTCTTGATGCCATGGCTGGCTCGGTAGTTGCGGCTGAGGATGGCGGTGTGGACAGGTGCATTGTCCTCCATGAGGGTAGGACGATGCACCTCATCGATATTGTCCATGAAGGGCTGGAGGCCCTTCTCGTAGACATTTTCGATGAAACTGGCGGCGTTTCGCTGGCCGGGGGGCATGAAGAGAACTGGGGCCTTCGTTCTGTTGAAGAAGCCACCCCAAATCATCGTCGACGACCGTCCGCTTCGGAAAGTCGGCTCGAGGCATTCCGGGCGATACTTTTCGTCCGTTTGGCGCCAGACCGAGATTGCTTTCGAGTTCTTACCCAGCTCGAACGATGATTCGTCGGTCCAGAGTACCGAGCGCCAATTGTCGACGGTCCAGTTGAGGTGAGCCGTTGCGAAGGCAAGCCGCCTAGCTGCTTGCTTGTCGTTAACAAACGGCTTCTTGACAGCCCTTCGGTTCTGGTACCCGAGCTTGTGAGCACGTCGGCGAGCGGTTCGGATCGAGATTGGAGTCGCCAGCTGCTCCACGATCTCCCTCATTGGGGCCCGGCGCTGATCGTCAAGGACTTGCCGGAGTCGTCGTTCGTCGCGCTCAGTGGTAAGGGGAGGTCGACCAGTCGGAGGTTTCGATTCGTTGGTACCACGGTCCTTCCAGCGATTGATGATGCCTGAAAGGGTCGATCGCGCCGTTCCAAACTCTTGAGAGAGGTAGGCAAGGCTCTTGCCTGCCCTTGCCATGCCTACAATCATCGCCTTTGTCTCCGTTGACAGGTGAGGCTTTCGATCGGGCTTCGTTCGGACCATCCTGAGCAGAAAGATAAGGTTAGTTCAGAAGAAGAAGAAGAAGAAAAAAAAAAACCCCACTTACTTTTAAAATTGATAAAATGAAAAGATTTGGAAAAGGTATGGTCAACAGGCCATCGCCAATGACCAACTCGAGAGGTGTAGCCAGTACACCTAAGTGTCACAGGGGGTGACACCCATAAAATCTGAACCCGCAAGCGGTGTTCGGATTTTTCTGTCAACCCACTGTATGTACTTTATTTTTTAAGTTTTTTTGAGGGTTTAAAATTATTTCCTAGGTTTTAAAACATGCAGAATTTAATGGCGCAATCCAAATTTTTCAAAACTCAATGGTTCACTTTGAATACTGAAATTAGACACATTTTTCACTTAAATTTTTACAGCTTAATTTTCATTTTTTTTTCACTTTTTAAATGTATTTCCCACACTTTAAGACATGGTTAAAATGATGGTAAAAATCATTTTGCATAAAAACCAAAGATTTGTAATGAATACTGCGTGGGACAGGGTTTTTTTGATGTTTTTTTAATTAATTTTTACCGGCTCAATTTTAATCATTTTTTGAAATTTTAAATCTATTTCCTACATCTAAAGGTTTCTAGAATTTAATGGTAGAAATCATTTTGCCTCAGAAGAAAAGCTTCAATCTTAATATAAGAGTGTACACCATTTCTTGCATAATTTGTACTGTATACAAATTTTATTTGAATGCAATATGGATACAGCCAACAATTTAAAAACCATTCAAAGTGTAGGAAATGAACTTAAAATTCCATAAAATAAGGATAATTAAGTGTGTAAGAATTAATTAAAGAAACATGTCAAAGGCTTTATTCAAGGTAAATTTTTCATTCTGATGCAAATTGATTTATACCATAATAAAAATCATGAAAATTAAGCTCTTAAAAATCAACTGAATTTTAAGGCTGATT